TTTTTTTCTTGTGCTGCACTGATAATGCAACTCATATACACTCATATACAAAAATTGCTCCGGTAGCTGTGCCTATGGCGTAGAAATGTGATAGAATCTGAATTGTAAGTCGGTTTGGATAAAAGCATCTGCTAAAATGACTGTAATGTAATGTAATACACAGTTAATAATGTCAGAAAATTGCTCAGTGTGGTGTGAGAATGTATGAGTTTGATACTGTGAGTTAATGATGTGAGTGTAACAGGGCCCTCTCACATGACTGACCAAAGTGTCAGACTGCTGTCTATGCTATATGTTATGTCTCGAAACAGTGTGTGTGTGCAAAATGCACCTAATGTATCAAACTAAGTGTACAAAATATATCATGCAGAATGGCCCCATTCATGTGCATTTTATTTTTGTAGTTGGAGGTGTTGCATGTTACTGGACTGAAGTATGACACTCTGCCAGGGGGTCTGTGAAAGGTTATATATATCAGTGGTGGGCCGTCAGGGCCTTCTCTGCTGGCCTAAACAGAATCACAAAGCTATAGCTATTTTATAATCTAATATTTTTTCTTAAATACACTACATGTATTATAATTTATAAAATTATTTTTCCCATTATCTTATTATCTCATTGCACAGCTACTGTCTTCCTCAGTTGCTCTGCTTCCAGTGCAGCCTGTTTTAAGTTGAGCTTTTATCCAATCAGATTTCACCCCTGTGTCTCCAGGTAAGAAGAGAGGCCCGAGGCCTGCAGACTCACAAGTGAATCCCTTTGCAGTTAAACTATTCCTTTAAGGCTGTCGGCTTGTCCTCATGCAGGTACATGGTGAAGAAAAAAAGGGCAGTTCCAAAACATGTCAGATTCAATCCATCACTCTCAAAGACTCAAACTTTCTTCTTACTGAGAAAAAGATAAATAGATTGAGGTTGTGATAGGTTTCACTCATTCATTCATCCTCCACTGGAGTTTATCTTGATAAATGACTGCAGTGTGTGCGTGTGTCACTGAATATTTACCGAGACATATTTACTATTTTTAGAGCCATAATGTTTTCATGTCTCTTTCCTGTTGCACTCTGACGCTGGAAGGAGGAGATCGAAAAAATGATTAAGATCTGTTTGACTCATTGGGGCAGGTTGTCATTTTAACTGCCACTCAAAACAATTTCACCGTATAATAACAGTAACTTACTGGCAGCAGGGACGGCAAGTTTTATTATGGTGAAGCTACCGTAATTTCCTTTTACGGTATTTTACCGTATATTTGATTACGGTATGTGATAGTAAGATAACTGGGTTTGACGGTATATGCCAGAATGTTACCGTTTATTTACAAAGGGTAATACAACCCAATACTTTTGCATTTAATTCCCAACAAATAAAAGAATAACAATAGACATTCAATACACAATTGTTGCAGTTTAATACATGTTCTCAAGACAAATAATAAAGGGACATTTGTATTACATCACACAACTCACAATGTACTGCGTGTTTAGAAGAAAACAAATAAAATCATAACATCTTTAATGACCAGCTTAACTGAACTCATGAGGATAACCTCAGACCAGTAGTGCCGAGATCGAAAAGTGGCCGAACAACAGTACACACCTACTGTTGTTCAGCGGTGTGTACCTCTCCCAAGAGTGGTATGCTATATGTTCAGTGGTAGGTACCTATCCCTGGAGTGGTATGCTACTGTTGTTCAGTGGTGCCATAGTAGAACAATAAACCTTGAGTTTCAAGTTTCCTCATTGTGTAAAAAAACACAAAAGAGACGGATGCTATTGTAACAACTAATTCTTAGGCATTGCACAAACACATTTTTAAAGAAAACATCTCCTCTGTTCTACATGCGTTTCCCTGTTCGTATCGTCACCATCATGACCTGCAGACTGGGAGGACTGGCAGCTTTTAACACGGCAGCTGCATGTAGAACTATGTGGTCATATATTATTAACTAAAGTAACTATGTGTATGTACAGCAACTTAGTATAGAGGAAAACATTGCACTTTATTCAGTATATATATATATACATATATATATATATATGTATATATATATATGTGGCGAGAGGTGGCTGGGATGTCGTTTACAGTTACGAGGACAGCCAATACTTAGAGCACAACAACGCCACCTTAGGAATTGCACCCAAGGATTCACTTTTTCCCACACAGTATCAGGTTTACTAGGACACTCAGGTTCATTACACAAATTAGCAGGAGACTTGGTTCCAATACAAAAAATAATCTTTATTCTATTACAAATTCACAAAATACTAAAAGTGTTATTACAATAACTTTGTTCAATGCTTAAAATCCTTTCAAGGGTGCGTTTGCACAATCCCACGTGAAGTATTTCATCTGTTGTAAAGCCACGTTTAAAGTAGTCTTCAATGTACTCACAATACACTTCCATTTCAAGTGTACAGTAACCAGCCAAAGAGCTGCTTCTATGACTGTGTTTAAGTATCTCATAATTATGACTTTCTATCTCATAGTTATGACTTTTATCTCATAACTTCGACTTTCTATCTCATAATTTCGACTATGGGGATATTTGTATTATCAAATCTAATCTCATAGTCACTCATTGATGCCTGCAGAAGGATTTGTTTTGGTCCATGTTTGTTAATGTCAAGCAGACCATCCATAATGCAAATCCTCTGATTTGTATGTTTGTTGTTGGTTTAATAACACAAGTGCTGCAGAGAGGCCGTATTTTTTCTCACACTAGTTCCCTCAACAAAAAATCAATGTGATTATTCCATTGGATTTTGCATTATTGCGGAAAATCTGTGGCAAAGATAATCTTCATAACTACTTGTCAGCAACCGCCTTTTTTCAGACGTCAGAGCTTCAAAATTCAATTTTAGATTGTAGATCTAATACGTTAAAATCTCTTAAACTTGTGTTAACCACAGACCTTATTTCAGGCATCTAACCAAAACACATTCAAAAAAACAACAGTGACTTTCTAGACTAGGGAACTGTCAAAAGTACAAAAATGGTAACTCATTTCAGAGTTACAACTCCTCCCCTCTGGTAGGCGCTACACAGCACTGTACGCCAAAACCACCAGACACAGGAACAGCTTCTCTCCGCTGGCCGTCACTTCTCTCCGCTGGCCGTCACTCTGATGAACAATTAATCACACATACTGCACTACAACCTCTGTTTGCACTATTACCACCACTTGCACTATCACCTCAATTCAAATATTATTCACATCAGAGGGAACAATATTAACCGTATCATGAAAATGACACCATAGACAAATGAACACAGTAGTACCGCTACTTTAGATGTAAAGCTCCAAAGCATGTGTCAGAGGGTGTGTGCTCACCACAGTTCATTTTTAAAGCAGGGTTTGCTCACTACTAAAAGCGATCCATTGTGTGGTCTTTGTGGTGTCACTGTGTCCCTCCAGGTCAGGGGTCGGCAACCTGCGGCTCTTCAGTCCCTCTGTTGCGGCTCCCTGAGTCTACATCCACACTAATACGTTTTCGTTTTAAACAATCTCCGTCCACATGACGTTTCAGCATCGTTTTCTAAATGATCTCCGTCCAGACTTAAAACGCCTGAAATCGAATATCAAGTGACTATTCACGTACACTGGGCATGGTGGGTGCCGGTGTAAACAGGAAGTACATTAGTTGTGCAAAGCCGCTAGCGACTTCAGACGGCCGCTCCGTAGGTCTGATAACACCGCTGGACACGATGCTCGCTAATCGCTCCAATAACAGCTACTTCCTCTGCAGAAATGCAGACTTTAACTGGACAACAGCTGCTGGTAAAGACAACAAGGTCAATAATACCTGACCTTAAATAAAAATGTTTTCATATTTTGTCAACTAAAATGTGCTACACATCCTATTACGCCTGTCAAGCGCCTTTCCCTGCAGGTGGCTAATCATGATTTGCAGACCTCGGTAAACTATCAATGGATAAATCCAAAAAAAGAAAAGTAACGGAGGAAAATAGAGAGTTTAATTCTGCGTGGACATATTCATTTGCTTTCACTGCCAACGATGCTGGCTTACCTGTATGCTTGATATGTGCAAAAAATGTAATGTTGAAAGTCACTTCCAGAACAAGCACACAGCATTTGCTGAAAAGTATCATGCTGGAGATGAGCGATAAAGAGCGATTTCTCAACTGCTGCAGCAAACTCTCCTCTTCATAAGAGTTTGATATTGTTATAACAGGTAAAATTGCAATAAAATGTCAAGAATTATCTTTATTCTTGTTCTATATTTTCATAAATACAACAAACTATAGTTTTTGTATATATAGTATATTATACTATCTTTTCAAAATAAATTACCATCGTCATAGGAAACAAAAAGTTAGGTTTAGGTAAAGACCATTGTTTGGGTTAAAATAACTCCGGAAGTGTCGTTACTGAAGCACGCCAGTGACCTGATAAGTAAATCAACATTGCCTTCTATTTTCACATGGGGAATATATAGGGGTGCGCTGGCTGAAGGATCGCTGTTTGTTGGACCCATCCCTTAATTACCCCCCCCCCCCAATCCGTGTGAGCTTTTGAGGTCTTTATACTTCCTACTTACGTCATACTACCTTCAACTTCAATTTAACTCAATTTGTTGCAACTGCTGGGGAAATTATCTAAATGTATGCTTCACTCTCTACTTCCACAGATGACGACACCAGCTTCCAAGAAAAAATTTGACTTACGAAAAATAGCTGCTATCTGCCTCATCGGCTCTATTCTGGCATTCTGTCTGTATTTTAAGCCTCCATCTCCTGTTTGCCCCTCTACATTAGCTCATGAGGAATATCTTCAAGAAGTGGATCCAAATGAAAAGCCCATAGTCCTGCTGTGGTTCTGGCCTCTCGGTATGAAGTTTGATTTCAAAGCCTGCTTTACTTACTTCAACATTGATAGCTGTGTTCTGACAGCTAATAGATCGCTCTACAACGAAGCACAGGGAGTAATCTTCCTCCACAGAGACATCGACTTCCATTTACAAAACATGCCGCGGGAGCCACGTCCAGCTTTTCAGAAGTGGATTTGGTTACATTTTGAATCGCCGACGAACACAGTAAAGATACCGGGTCTTGAGCACCTGTTCAACTTAACGATGACCTACAGAAGAGACTCTGACATCACCGTGAGGTATGACCTCACGATCAGAAAGACAGAAATTAAAGATGACTTTGTTCTGCCCAAGAAAGACAAACTAGTGTGCTGGATCGTCAGTAACCAAGTCCAGGCAACTGGAACAGCTGTGAGAGAACGATATTACCATGAACTGTCCAAACACATCAAGATCCACATGTTTGGTAGAGCCTATGGAGGGCACGCTTTGAGTTATGAGGACTATTACTCAACCCTTGCTAGCTGTAAGTTTTACCTCTCATTCGAGAACTCGATCCACAGAGACTACTTCACAGAGAAGGTTAACGGGCCCCTCGTGGCGGGGGCGGTCCCTGTAGTTTTGGGTCCGCCAAGAGAAAACTACGAGCAGTTCATTCCCGCCGAAGCCTTCATCCACATAAATGATTTCCCTGATGCAAAGTCACTAGCAGACTTTCTACTGAACATGAAGGATGAGGCGTATGCACGTTACTTTGAGTGGAGGAAGTTCTACACAGTTGACCCTCATTGGCAGTCACTATTGGTTGAATTCGTTCGCCCTATCTGCCTCGCCTGTGACCACATGTCAAGAGACAAGGGTTTCCATGTAGTTCATGACCTCTATGAGTGGTACTTTACATAAAAACGTCAATGAGAACGTCCGATGATAGTGGCTCACACATGCAAACAGATACTTGAGTATTCTGCCCACTGTATTCTGTTTAAAGTTGTCATCAATTGGCTGAAATAAGCCAATTGATCCAATTGAATTGCACATTTTGGGAATTTATTGTCTCTCTAGTGGACAGTTAGCTTTGCTTAAATACTGGAAAAAGGGAGAACCAGCTAGCCTGTCTACAAATAATAATATCACAGCACATAATCCTGTTTTTACACTTGCTACAGGCTAAATAAACAAGATATAACATGTTAATTGGTGAGCTTTAGAGGTGCTGGTAGGCTGATTTTGTTAATGTTATTAATGTATCAATTTTGATTATCTCCTTTAAACTCTTAGTTTCTCAACCACGTCATGTAATCATCGATGCAAGCTGACTAATGATTATTTTACATTTGTTTTACTCTGTAGATGTAATAATTTTAACATTATTTTGTACATAACTTCATATAATCACAATGAAGTTATTTAATGATTGTATATGGGAATGTCACTAATTCAGGTAATTTTACAGTCAACGACATCTTGGATCTTTGTACTGATCAACATAGTTATTGTCCAATAAAGACTTAATATAAAGATCCCAGAGGAATTTTGAATGTTTTAACATACATTTTTCAAAACGCATTGCAACAAAATATTTAACTTTGATGAAAATAAATTCTCTCAAAGTCGAATCTTACATTTTCTAGATGCTGGACTGTTTTTTTCGGTATGTTGGATGCAACGCTGATTACCATGTAATATGTGTGGTATTTGTTATAAATGTATGTTGGTACATAAAGGGTGATAAGAAGCTGTACCTGGAGGGACTTAGGACCCAGCGGAATGTAGGTGAAGGAAACAGGAAGAGACGGAAGAGACGCCACACAAACAGCTGTTCACTGCTAGCTGCCCGGTTCTTGTTAAAAATGTCTGCTTAATAATAAAAAAAACTGAGGTAACATGTGACAAAATAATTGTCGGCGTTAATGAATTAACGCGTTAACTTGCCCAGCCCTAGTTTAAATACATATACACACAATATAGCATGCTTCAAAAGTACTTCTACTACTGCTTTCTGTCGTAATGTAAATATTCAAACGGTGCAAGCCATGTGCATTTTAGGTAACTTAATTAATTGATGTAGCCTGATGAAGAGAAACTGAAAGGTAGAGACCAAATTATGCACCCAAAGAAGAATTGCTGTTATTTCATGTTTACTGACTGTTAGGCGCTTATGTTTCAACCATATAGATGGTCTTCCTCAGGTCAAAGTGATAATATGAACACAACCCACCTGTATTTAATAGACAGTTAATGATGAAATATCACAGCATAATCTCCTAATTAGCCTGAATGAGTCATCTGAAATCAGACATTTTAAGAAAGATAAGAGACTAATTTGTCCACTTCTCTAATCTTATTGTCTTTTCCTGGATGTTATCTGTGTCTGTCTGTGATGGGATTTGGGACTTTAAACATCTATACTGGAATGATGAAAGTTTACAGACACTGCAACATGTTGGCACTTTTTATATCTCTTTTTAACATAACAGACATATGGTCTACTTTGCATGTGGTTTGCTGATTTATTTGCCCCCTAACCTATAATATAAAATGGGAGACAAGTAAATGCAATTTAAGAAATATCTTTATCTGTTGGTGTACTTAATACGGTATAATATGAATGTAATATTTAGTGATCATACTTGAGAAATATTGTCTGGTTTATATGTGGCAGGTAATCTAATCAGGAGATGATGACTTGTCATTTCATCATGAATAAATACAGCTGTATGTTAACTTCTTTGACTTCACCTGAGGAATTCATTCTGTTTAGACTTCTTTAAACTCTGTTACTCTCTTACTTCTTTGAGAATTTAACAAATGACTGTGAATGTGTTGCCAATGATTATGACAATTCCTCTCTCCTTGCAGGTTTAATATGGGCTCTGTTGTTTATGTTTTACGAGCCACCCTGACAGGGATTCTCCTGCTGGCTGGAATCATAGTCCTGGTTTTGGTGTATAGTCAGTCATCTACATCTCCAAAATGCCATCCTCCCCCGGCTCAGTCAGGGCGGCTGACAAAGCAGGCTAATTTCCCCAACACGACAGTGGCAGCGAAACACCAGACAGACAAGCCTTTAATGCTGCTGTGGTTTTGGCCTGAAAACAAAAGGTTTGATCTTCAAGACTGTAAGAAGCTTTTCCAAATCGACGGTTGCAGACTCACAGATGATAGATCTTTATACTCCAGAGCTCATGAAGTTTTGGTGTTTCACAGAGCTATCCAGGATGACCTCTCCAACCTTCCCACCTCACCCAGAGCCAGGATTCAGAGGTGGATCTGGTTCAACACAGACTCGCCTAACAACACTCGCAGGATAGAAGGCATTCAAGGCCTTTTTAACTTAACCTTGAGCTACAGGAAGGATGCGGATATCCACGTTCACTGGCAACTTACTCCCAAGAAGAATTCAGGTGAAGATTTCGTACTTCCCAAGAAGGAACGATTGCTTTGTTGGATTGTGGATAGCAACGACCTCCACACAAAATCAGGGGAGGGATACAGCTATTACAGAGAGCTTATAAAACACATCAAGGTGGAGGTTTTTCACAGCTCCTCTACCAACGGGGAGAACTATTTCCTGACTATCAGCAGCTGCAAATTCTACCTTTCCTTTGAGAATTCAATTCACAGAGATTACATTACAGAAACGTTTAATGGACCTCTTGCGGTCGGCACTGTGCCAATAGTTTTGGGCCCACCGAGATGGAACTATGAGAATTTTGCCCCAGGTACTTCCTTCATACATGTAAACGACTTTCCTGACGCCTTAGCACTGGCTCAGTTCCTCCTGGGGCTGGATAAGGATAATGAGGCTTATATGAGATACTTTAGTTGGCGGCAATTCTTTACTGCGAGACGTCATCCTACTGAGGAGAAGCATGAGTTTGCACACGCTATCTGCCAGGCCTGTCGTCACATTGGCAGGAGCAAGGTGTACAGAGTTGTACCTGATCTGTACAAGTGGTTCTTACTGTAATGCTGTTATTGATGTACTGTTCCTCTGAACTGATTAAAAACACAAATTAGAATCTGTTCAGAGAAATACTTGCCGTCTATAAAGTAGTAGTTGTGTTTTATTCAGCCATCACATACAACACAATAAATAAAGCCTATATACGATCTAGTAAAAAAAAGGAATAGGCAGAAGCATGATGCTATATATGCCTATCCTACATTCTTATCAATTAAATTACCCTCAAAAAAATTTAAATCTGTGCAACTTTTGGTTCCGCTTATGGTTAAATGTATCTCCAGAGCTTTTCATGACAAAGAAAACAGCAAAATATGTTTTTTGTTTGATTTGTATTTTGGGTAAACCCTTTAATACCGTCTGTTTGAGAACAGCCAATTTACAAAATGAGTTCCCTCCATTTTAAACAACAGGGTGTCACTATTAAAGTGTATGTGGTTGCGGGCATGATGATAATACTTATAGTGGAATAATATGTCACTGCTAATGCATTAAAATTAAAGCTATTAAACTTACTATATGAAACATTATATATGTATTCTATGTTTATTTATATAATGTTAAATGCTTTTAAGGGCTGTAGATACCGCTGAAGATATCCAGGCTGGATCCTTCCTTTTCCATGAGTCTGCAAGGACTCAATATGTAATTCAGTTTAGATTTCACAGTTGAAACTTATTGAATAACATGTAGTTGCTGTAATTACGACAACAATCTATGAGCAGCCCTGGTCTGTAAAAGCTGCATGTGACTTTTGCAGTTGTTTGGAGTTTTAACATCCCAATGTTGATATTGCATCCAGTAAGTTTCTAGCACAAAAGGTTAAGGCTTTTCTGTTTCACCGTTTCCATTAAATCAAATGTTGGCTTATTTTGTCATTTTAATTATTCTGTTTTTTGTATTTATATTCCATGCAAGCTTGTTTCTTTATCCTCTCTTATTTGATTCTCCTTTAAACCCTGTGTAGGTTTTATATTAGTTTTCTAACCTCTCTTAGTGCTAAACCTACCTTGTTTTAAGTCACACAGTTTAATCAACTGATATAGAATCAGCGATCAAGTCCATTTAACGAGCAGCACAATGAGCCTGAAGACTGTCGGCTTTATGGTGTTTGATTGTTTCCACATGTGGGCGGAAGCTGCGACTCGTGGTCTCTTGGCTAAGGTCCTGGATCGCCAACGTGTATATGCGTGCGCGCGAATTCGTGTGTGTGCGTGTGTGTGTCTGTGTGTGTGTGTGTGCGTGTGTGTGTGTGTGTGTGTGTGTGTGTGTGTGTGTGTGTGTG